CACACACACACACACACACACACACACACACACACACACACACACACACACACACACACACACACACACAAACACAAAAAAAAAATTTATAGATTCCAGGTACTGGGGCAATTTAAATAAGTTCGAAAATTTGTAAAATGCCGATATCAGGCCCGATACCAGTATCGATATTGGAACACATACAGTATTAAGCTAAAAATTTTTGTTGTAGTAACAGAGCATTTTCTCCARCACATACTGTGAGCACAATACACAATGTGTGATATTTTCACCTAAAAAACTGGCAATGACTCTTRACCTCAAACCTGTTTATCTGTTAGAAGAGTTTCTCATGGACCAGAGAACAGATTTTCTGGAAATTAAAATTCAGTTGCCTCAGTTTCAGATGGACACCCAAGCTAATCAGTTTAAACCAACACACAAACAGCTGTGCTTCTGTGTGCAACCTTTTCAAGTTTTCAGACATCAAGCTAAAATTTGGTGTGGTTACAGCTGAGAACCATGTTTAACACTTTTTACAAAAGCTTCAAGTTGCGTAACATCTTTGGCTAAAACTTGATCAACAACTKTAAGTCAACATTGTCTGCCAGTTAGCAATGTCTTGAACCACTGAATGTATGGAAGGACACCTTTAAGAAAGTAATCACTGACTACTCTGACAACTCATTTGCATTTGGAGTCAATCTAAGATTTCCACCACAGCTAATTAACATTAGCAGACACAAAAATAGTTATATTTAAGTGAATTCTACAGATGTTGAGTTGAATTTGTTGTTGCTGATAGTCATCTTATTGACTGACCACTAACATAGTGAGATTGCACAAGATTGCATCAGAGGACTCATGGTTTAYAGTCTTTGACTAAAATGACTATAACTCTATAGTTTCTCATCATRAGGTGATTTTAGTCTAAAACTCTGTTATAAAAGGTGGAGGGTGATATGCATTCTTYAGAGGAATGCTAGGTCCTAAATTCTAATAAAATTTGGCTTTAAATGCTGTCATTTTTGCCCAAGGCTTCTGTTTTGTACACATTACATGYACAGAAGCTCTTCTCTCCAAATGAAGTGCCATGTGGATTTATTCATCTCTCCCTCCTCTCTTCGTCTTCCCCCTCCTCACCAAATTACACGATGGCGCTGTGGACCCGTATGCCAGCGTGTGTGAAATATGTTGGCCGGGAGTCCTGCCATTTGATGCACGAGATGTGGCTAACAGATCTCGTGCCATTTCCCGGCTCTTCGGGCTCCAGTGAAACGCTGACCTTTCCTRCCTCTGGTCTATATTTAAAACTGCGAGCACCCGAGACACCATGGCGCCATGGGAAATTTTATTAGCGAYGCTCCTCATTTGTCTGACTTAATTCAGGTCTGCCGTGGCTGGTGCCGAAGCATGCTGTGTATTTACAGTTCTCCAGAGCAAACAAGGGCAGYGGCGACGAACCCAATTGTCAACACGTTAGCAGGGGTGATGTGTGGCGACATATTCCTTTAATCTGCTCTGAGAGAATATTCTGTAGGTTCAGATTACAGAGCTTTTTAAATGAAAACCTAAGAATAAAAAAGAGAAGTTTGTGTGAGGGGGCACTTGATATTTTGAGGAATCTTGTTGATGGAAACTTCTGCTCTAGATTTGAATCCAGYACATGTTTATCTGCCTTTTTAATTTCTCATTAGACAAGAGCAGCTTGAATGAAGGACCCAGCATCATTTAAAGAATATCCTCACCAACTTTTGTGCCAGAGTGTTTAAATTCAGGTCCCCTTATGTGTTGAAGATGACACTCAGATACTACCACATGAAATTCTAGCTCAGTATCTGTATATTTGACTAAGCTATAGTTATTTTTCTGTATGACAAAGCAGATTAGCTAAAGCATGAATATTGGAGTCCAAAATTTAATCAGTTGTAGATACATCACTACTGATTACTTTCTGAAAGTTTCATTAAAAAATTCAATTGATTCAAGAGATAATATACTACCAATCAATCAATGTGGTTTATTTTTTTTTGTTTGTTTGTTTTTCTTTTTGTTTGTTTGTCTGTTTGTTTGTTTTAGCAGACACATTTGATTACAGTAAAGAGACTCAGCTTCCTTCTGAAATGCACAAGACATACAGACATGGACCTAGTRGATGCAACATGATTAAAAAGTGACCAGGTGTTGAAAATAAAAAATAAATACAACTCCCAACTTTTAAAAAAGCAGGAAAGAATTATAAGACCACATAAAACCCAAATATAAAAAATCAAAAAGTTAATGTCATGGTTTTTAAGCAAATAAAATGTAGAATTTGCAGTGCTCTGTGTATGCATTGTGAAYTAGTTTCAGCTRCTAACACACCAAATTTAACCTGAATATTTGCTGAGTTAGAGTCATTTCTGTTTTTTTTAATCAGTTGGCTGTGATGGCCGTCCTGAATTTGTTTGACTGCAAAGGTTAATCAGTTGTTGGTGTATGTCCGATGATTCGTTTTTCAAGGTTTCACTGAAATGTATCAAGTAGTTTAATAAATATTTTGCTAACAGACGGGCAAATTTAAATCACATAGTTAAAGGCACAGTTTTAAAACCGAGTCTTTTGGCAGTAATTAAATGTTAGGAAAAACTGTCAGCTTCGACCACACCAAATTTTAGCTCAAAATTTACAAAATTGCCTGAGTTGTTGCCTTTTTTGTGTTTGTACACACTGTCATGTTCCGTTACATCCAGTATACTTTAAATCTCTCCGAGTATCACCCAGTCACTTGTTTTTCCTTCCCCTTTCATATTTTTTGGTTTACAACATAGATCTGAGGGGGGAGTTCAGAGGGTGCTCCAGGTGGATCTGAAGATGGAAAGCTTCCCGGAGCCGACAGGCAGCCGTCGGATGGCCTGGCAGGTGGAGTACCTGGCCAGTCGCACCGCCACACCGGAGGCAGAGACGGAGATCCGCCTGGCTCAGGAGGAACTGGCAGGCATCGTGCCTCTGGCCATGGTGAGTGATGCTGCTTCCAGCTGAGAGCGGCGACCAAATCCATCGCTCATCACGCTGAATGGGAAGTAATGCATCATAGGAATGTAAAGCAGCRTGTTCTAAATGTACACTTTCAATCAACATGTCCACATGTGCTGTCAGAATATAAAACTAAGACGTTGGTTTACATCTTCATGAATAAAATGAATTAAACTGTAAAAAGTCTTAAAGTGAATAAAAACAATCACCAATGGTAAAAATCATATTGCTTTTCCGTTAAAGCCTAGAATGGATGATAGAAATGTCCTTCTGTTGGACTGTAAATACATTTTTCTSTTCATTCTGGTTCAGCTCCATTTTTCCATCAGTAGAAGTATTCAGTGCACATGAATAACTAGTCATCATCTCATCATCCAATGAAACTTTGTGCTAAAAGCACATTTTTATTATTGAAAATATGATGTTTTATGATATGACTCAACAAATCTGTCAGCTTTCTCTAAGTAAAATATGAATTTGATGCATTATTATTTGAGTGTTTTTCTACATTCACCAGCATTTACGTTTCCAAGGGAAAAAATATTTATTGTAGTATTCTATTGACTAAATTTTGCAGTTTTTTTTAAACAAATGTTTCACAAGGAAGCTATCTGATGCATTCACAGAATCCAACACACAAGCCAAGGTGTTTTGTTCTTTTCATCTCTTCATAGAAAGCAAATAAATGAAGTTTCACCTCTGGATAAAAGCAGAGTTCCWCTCATGTGCTGGTCCTTCACAAGTGAAAACTGAAGATGAAAAAYAGTCAAATAAAGTAAATCACAGATTCCCTACTGGTGCTAGGGCCCCAACTATAGTCAGGTGATGGGGCACATGACCCTCTATGAACARTAAAGCTAATCAAGGCACTATGATCTATCGTTAGGCAGATGGTCCKCTTTTGCATGTGACCAACCTGTTTGTCCACCATGTGGRRGCAGTGCTTATAAGGCTGAGTTCACCTGAAACTCCTCAGACTGAAGAAGTCTCTTGGAGGAGAGATGAAACGTTTCATTAAAGAAGAACCCATCCAGAGGACCTACGTTTTGTTTTTCTTTTTGAAACACACAAAAGAAAAACCAAATATTTTTTCTTCTAAATTTTATACTCCAAAAATGGAAAAATGGACCATACTTTTATTTTTGCCATACCGGAAAGAAATGCATTTTTTTTCCTCACAGAAACTTTACCATCGTAATCTTTGTGTGAATGTAATGTTGCAGAAAGTTGGAGCAGTTTGTTGTTTAACGTAACAGCAAACACTTGTGTCTGAAAGAGGAGGACATGACTGCAAACAAACTTGGCAAAATTTTTCAGGTGAAAACTAGATGTGCATCAGACTCCACTCAAGCCATTTTCTGAGCAAAATCTCCTGATGATCCAGGGGAGAACTCCCCTTTCCTCTCCATAACGATGCAAAATAGCTGCAGAGATTGGCTTAGAACAGTGGTTCCCAAATTTTTTATCTTCTGACCCACAAAATATCCATGGCGAAAACTTGTGACCCCAAATATTACTGGTC